TCGCGCTTTTGTAATTTGAGTTTTCTGTTCCTCTTCTCTATTCAAACGCATGACATGCTTGCTTGACGGAAAACCTATCGAATGGGTATTACGCATGGCGCAGTAATGCATTATTAATTTGTCGAGCGTCAAAATTCCCAGGCACACTGCATTGTCAAATCATGTACCAGATGCATTCATTCGGAGTTGGAAAGCCAATATTTTTTTAGTGACTCACTGCCTTCCTGGGCAATTCTAGCGCATTCCGAGTGCAAAAAAGTGAGCTTCTTTTTTGAAGCAATTAAATTAAAATTACATTAAGGAAAGATCCCGAGCAACATCCTCGCTCATTTTTTGGTGGGTGCTCATCGTTAAATGACGCACTATCTTCGGATTGTAACACTTCGGATCGGAAACCATTCGGACAAGAAACGAGCGTCTTTCGGACAGCGTTGCTCGGTCTTTTTGCTTCAGTATTTCTTCTTTGCTGAGATTTTTCTGCGACTTCTGCTAAAAATTTTGCCACTGATCAGATAGATCAGAAGCACAGTGAGTTCGCTGGAATCACTTTCCATTTTCATCACACTATATTTTTGTCACTTTGCGCTCCTATACTTTCAGGTCTTTAGCATTTGGCTATAACAGTGTGCCAGCAGGGATGCCGTAGCGGAGTAGTACTGTTGCGATGCAGCAGGGCCGAAGGTTCGACTCCGCCTGTGGGAAAACCGATCACTTTACGAATCGCTTCGATGTTAAATTAATACTGGCATATGCCGTCTGCTTACTTGGATTCAAACACCACCAGCCTGCTTGTGAGCAACCCACAAAAGAGGGGACCATCGAAAACGCTGCCAGTGGATGATTGCTGTTGGCATTTGCTATTACTCTATTTACCTCCTGAGTGCCTTCGCCTCTCACTGAAAGCTAAATACGGAGAGGGTTCTGATTTCTACAACAGTGCAGAAGTACTTGTGGCGCAAGTATGAATGAAGCATAAACGCTGTTTCATTACCTAAAGCACCGAAACAGAGGAAGAGACACGATTATGCACCCTGCTCAATAAGTGCAAAGAATTAGAATAGGCTCACTTTTTCGCCGAATTCCTTTTCTTCCAGAGTTTCTAATTCAGCCTCTTCAACAAGTGTATCGGAAACCAAACTTTCTGCAATACTATCTATGAAGAATTTCCCCCCAGTCTTTTCATACTAATCGCGCTAGGACAGTCAACGCCAGATCAACACAACAAATGCCAATAGAGTCGTCATGCAAAAACCTCGAGTCGAT